ATTTCTATAGCATGTTTTAACATTTCTTTTCCATCCTTATATGTACATAGCTCACTGTTGACAGGAATGCGAAGTGATAAATATCATTATCATAACTGACCTCACTTCTTGTTTCTTTTGTTGCTAATTGTAGTATGGACTAATGCTATGCTCTCATTGTACATTTTTTACACTACAACAGTGCTCGTACTAATGCAACAGATTCTCTTAGACGTAAAATTAAGTAAATGAGAAGTTTTTTTCAACTGTTCTCGTGCTTTGTAATTAATTTTGGGTGTAAATTATTTTTTTCAGGACATCGACTTTTCACTCGAAGCTGACATTTCACTTGGAACTTTTGTTTAATTGTTGTTGTTTACCTTAATTCTCTATTCTTTCCTCATTGTTGATTTGAAAAACGAAATGAACTTTCTAAAATCGTCACCGAAGAGATGGCTGTTAGACTTCGAAAGTGTTGTGTTCTTCCAATATCTATGCAAGAAGTGATAGTGTCGAGAGACCATCGTGATGGTAGGGACGTCGCACTTCTCATCATCATTCAGTTTCTGTTGTGGTAATTCCATCATCCTTGGGATTGGCGGGCCATGGAGCTGTACAAGCTTGTGGTACAATTAGTAAAAGAAAGGAAGAAAAAACTTGAGCATTCAATCGGCCCGTGTGGCACTGTTTATACTGGGTGTGGGACACACTCCTTTGCAATTTTGAGCGGCAGTCGAAGGCGGGGCGCATCTCAAGTGATGAATTAATCAGGTTAATCAGCGCAACCGTTGTTTTCTTAATCGAGTACCGCTGACGCCATTGTTTGAGGGGTTGTGTAGTCATCCAACTTCCCAGTTCACCGGGAAGTCAACCGGTTTTTCCTTTTCGATACATGATATGTTGGGCACTACAAGGAAGATCAAGACAAGCGAAGTACGCAGAGTTAGATCAATCATTTTTAGCTACTGTTGCGATGGCACGTGGTCATCAAAAGATTCAATCTCAACAGAAGGCTCAGAAGAAGGTGATTCAAGGTTTGTGCTTTCGGCACTTGTCTGGTGATGTGTGCTGAGTTCTAGGCTGAAGCATTGAGAAAGTCCCAAGGCTGCGACCAGCGCGGAGCTGCTCAGAAGGCATTGCATCACAAATGCGCAGTGTGCATGGCACAGATGCCTGATCCGAAAACTTATAAGCAGCACTTTGAAAGCCGTCATCCGAAAGCACCGCTCCCCGCCGAATTGGAAGCTATTCAGTCGTAAAATCTATGATATCAGAGACATTTGTATACAAATTGCATTGAACGTTCCCCAATAAACGTTCGAAGATTCATCTCGGTACTTCGAGGAGTAGTCTCCATTGCTTGCTGAAATGTGTGGTCTCCTAGAGTTATGCTGCTTGCTCATGAACCCATGAAATGCACCTCGAGCTTGGCTATTCTACACGCGTCCTATTCACCACGAACAGAGACGTGATCTAAATCCTTCTATTTTATAAAGCGCTAACTTTGTGTGTCCGCATGTACGTCTGTATGTGTGTCCGTCCGCAAAATGAAAATGAAATGAGTGGTGGAATAAACAAGCCGATAACGGGAAGCTCGCAGGCCTCGCGCTATCAATGTTTTGCTAGAGCATGATTATGATAACCCAGAACGGCTATATAAAAAACCTACTGGGCACACTCGGTCATTCCATAAGGTGTGCGGTGGCAGCGCGGAGAGCAGTGGAGGGAGGAGGGGGGAGATGTGTGGAGAGAAGGAATGCCAGGGTTCGCAGGGAAGGGAATTTCCGGCGGTTGTTGGGAGAAGACCAATCTGGTAACTAAAAAAGAAAGGTGTACGATGTGGAACACGGAAGCAAATTCCATGTTCCTCGTTAATTGTTAGCTTCAGATCCACACTCTAAGATGAGAATCAAAAGATTGCGTTCGTTTTGAGAAACTATTCGAAAGGTAGAAGGGTCGCCACGCGTTAACACTTTGACGACATCGCGTGTTTTGGCATTTTGCACCACGTGGGAAAGGAGCGGCCGTCCGCACCTTACTTCCGCTTATTTTTTGTTTAAAATGCACAAAACTTGAATTCTCATAGGATATTTCGGCAAGGATGAAAGCATAAAGGTTAACTATAAATGACAGTAGATTTTTGTTTAGAAGAACGCATAATGACCACGAAGAAGCAAAAAACATCACTTTAGCTGCGAATGAAGTTAAAAGCATTTATCTAAGTTCTTTCATCAAATACAAATATTTTGAAACTTACAAAGTTTTGTGTTAACTGCTTCTACAATCTTACACATGAATGTTTACGAAAGTGAAAGGAATACTGGAAAAGAATTGAAATGAAAGTTTCGTGTGTTTCAGGAAATCTTTGCTAAATCCAGGGTGCTCAAGGATATTTGAGCACTCTGGCCCATTGTGGTTTATAGTTATGCTAATGTATCATCTGTAGAATGAAGTACAAAAAACTCGAGAAGAAGGAGCTCGAGCACAATAAAAATGAATGACATAGTTCTGACGCGCATGCGCGTCAGAATGTCCAATGCGGTGCAAAAATTCTGACGCGCATGCGCGTCAGCCTGTCGTCAACGTGTTGAAGATCTCCCGCTCATATCTGGCTCCAAAATGTTGGCGCTGGTAGCGCATCCACTTTGGTTTCGGCGAGGTTAAGTGGCTAGAACCCTTTCGGCATGCCTTTTTACGTATGCAAGAATTTTACTTTGTAGACGACATCTATTCCTATCGGCGCGTTTTGTTTCTATTCTCCAAATTCGACCGCTTTGGCTATTCTTTCGATGCGTCACCTAATACATAGCCACCCCTAAGGCGGACTTTCTCCCATACGCCTTTTCGGCCCCGCCCATCCGTCCAAACCGGCCACGAAGTAGGTAAGCATGTAGTTTTCAGAAATAGTTTCTTTTTGAAAGCTTAATTCACGCGCGAAATCTTGGAATTGCATCTGCTGTCGCAATAGGAGAAACGTCCGTGAGGCGAGAATGATAGAGCAGTTTCCCATGGACGGTTCCTCTAACCGCTATCGTAACTGTGCGTCAGAATGTCGAAGTTGGGGTATGCATCGCACGTGATGTGATGCAATATAATGTGTGAAAAGGCGAAATAGTGAGTTTCCTATTCAATCATACAGCAGGCGTTGGGCTTTGGGCTACATACATATCACCCGTAGCGCTGGTATCGGCAGGAGAGGGTTGGGAGGGTATCTGTGTGCTTGCGGCCCAACGCATTCAGAACATGGCAAACACTTGGTGTTTTTGTTTTTTATTGCGTTCGAAGTCATATATTACTGAATAGTGCAACTGTGGTTGAAGGGTCCAGTGATGTCAATGGTGGTGATCTCTTGGGCTAACGATAAGCTCTGGAGAAGAGGACGAACTCCCAGGAAAATGAAAGTCGCTTGCGCTCTTTGAAGTAGCTCCTAACACTGCGCACCGACACAGTCCTATTTTAAAGCTCAACGGCAGGAGCAAAGGGACGGGAAACCTGGACTTCACACTACAGTGCGTTTCATTATTATAAGGTCACCCTAAAATATTGCATTTCCGGAACCAGCAGCCAACTGGAATTTTTCCACTACCACCAAATGATTCCCCACTCTGAATAACCCCTGTATCAAAATTTTGGAGAAAGCAGTTTTCTTCCTTCTAACTTTTTTTGATAATTTTATTGTTTAATCCAATCATTGATAGGAACCTTTTTGTTGGATGTTCGAAACTTGTAAAATATCTGGAGACGTAGAAACTTTTCAATTATCTATGAGTAGAGCTGAGGATTTACAGAATTTCACGGAAAGAGTCCCAAACCGTGCCGAGCACCATGAAATGCATAAACTTCAACCCTTCTTCAAAAGACGAATTACGAAACATTCCATAAATTGGCTAATGGATGTGTTTGTGAAAAGCATTCAGTTCCACAAACAGGTTGGTTGTCTGATGATGTAGTATTTATTTTCACAGGGTGACTTTATAATTATGAAATGGCGCAAAAACTGAAAAGTTATTATACTTACTTACTTGGATACTTGGATGCTCGTTGTCAGCCGATGATCCTCAGCGGCGAGCACACGCTTCCCTCCATTTTTGACGATCTTGAGCGGTTTGGGCCCAGTGTTGGCCCGCATCTTCTTGAAGTTTCTTCAGGGAGTCTCTCCATCGTGTTGCAGGACGGCCAAGTGTGCGCTTCACGTCTCGTGGATACCAGAACGTAACGCGTGTGGTCCACCGATCATCCATGCGTCTGACCACATGTCCGGCCCATCGTTTCTTTGCGTCCCACGTATACACTGCGGCGTCACGGATACCAGACATTAAGCGCATGTCTGTGCTGCGCAAATTGCGGCTTCTCTGCTCTCGGCGGTTAATGTTCAGCAGAACCACCCCGGTTAATGTTCAGCAATGTCCGCTCCAGCGCTCTTTGTGCGCGAGTCAACATCATCGTAGACGTCTTGTTCTCCGCCCACGTCTCGGATGCGTAGCAGAGTGCGGGCAGTACCGTAGAGTCGAATAGGTCAGCTCGTATCTTCTTGTCCGAGATGAGCTGAGCCGCCTCTTTGATGCTTCCCATTGCCGTCCATGCGCATTTCTTGCGCCTCATGATCTCTGCGCGCAAGTTGTTGTCCACGGAGATGAGTCGACCGAGGTACACATAGCAGTCGGCGTCCGGGAGTGGGACAAAATTATTATAAAAAAGTTAAAAGAAAAGCCGCTCAAGCCAGAATTTCGCTAGGGTTTTTTTATAGTGAGGAATAAGCTGATAATTCTAGGAGAATTGCCAGCCTGCTGCTTGTTCCGGAAATGCAAAATTTTAGGGTCACTTATAACTATGAAATACACTGTACGTGGTTTTCTAAAGATAAGAGAACCCAATATAAAAAAGTATCTTAAATGCAAGGGCTCTCCGCATAAGGTGCTCTTCCCCTGACGACACCAACGCCCACTCACCTTGTCGGCGGAGAACTGCCTCCAGTCTCTTAGCTTTATCCTCCCAAAATTGGGTTTGCTCGCTGTGGCAGAATCATTGTGCCAGTCATCACCACATTTTTAATACAGTCACAACGACGCCCGTTTTTTGCTTTTCAATCGCGTGGGACAGACGCGATTTCGTGAGCGCCGTCGCCTCACTTACCCTCCGTTGATTTTTTGTTGTAGTGAACAAAAAGATGCCCAAACATTAAGAAATTTATTTATTTAGTTTATTTAATATTTAGAGTGTTCAATGCCGTAGATGTGTCAGGCACTATAGCAGGTGGGAAATTTCATCGCAAACGCTATGCAATGGCAATGAAGACATTATTCACTTCCACCGATAATGGAGCTTACTAAATACTATTTTTTTGATCTCGGTTGTTTCTCAAAACACTATGCACCCAACCTCAACCTTCAACCTAAGACACTATCTTGCCATCCATGGAGTTTTGTCTTCGCTTCTAGTGCTCTTTATTCACATGTTTACGTCCATAAATGGGAAGAGGATTTAAGCAACCTAAAAATTTCATCAACATGGAGAAAAACTTTCAAAACTCACGCTTTCGTTTATAGTTGCGATTTGGTCTCTAGCTAATTGACTCAGTCACTAGTTAGAGGAATCCTTCGCGGAAAATTCTTGCATTCTTTCTCAGCATGAATGTATCAGTCGTGATCACTGGAAACAGTACCCAAAGTTTTACGCAGAAGATTCAGTTCCCGAAGAGAAAACCTTACAAAAACTACACTCCATGTCGTATAAAGGTAAAGGCGAAAGCCAAGGGCGGGACAGGAAGAATCACGTCTTGAGCGGGGAGGTATCAGTTGATGCAATGAAAGATCGGTCGGTAAAAGCGTGCCGATCTATGTAGAGTAGAAAAATGATCAAATAGGAAGCAGGTGGAGTACAAAGTGTGAGATGTGATTGCAATAATCAAAAGGCCAGAAAGAGTTTCTAGTGACGGCACTCCAAGAACCATGTGGAAGCGTTCCCGTCGCCAGCATTCGTGACAGATGTGCGGCGGTACCTTGAACGCGCAACAGACCTTCCGGTTTTTTTCAACTTTTTTGCCAAAATAGATACAATTTTTTGTTCATTCTTTTTATGGTGGGTCTGAAGCCAGTAATTCATGGCTGGAATAGAATCGTTATTTCCCCGTGGAGGATTCGTTTAATCCGTTGATATCCAAAATACCTGAAAATCTTTCTATTTTATAAACCGCTAACTTGTGTGTCGGTTTGTATGTATGTCTGTGTGTCCGTCCGCAAAATGAAGTGAGTGATAAGGAAGCTCATGGAATAAACAAACCGCTAACAAATCGGGTAGCTTACAGGATTTGAGATATCAATGTTTTGTAGCAGGATAGTTGTGATAACACTCCTACGGCTATATAAACACCTGCTTGAGCACACTTCCGTTCATTCCACATGGTGCTGCAGTGGCAGCTGGAGGGCAGTGGAGAGGCATAACTTGGATTTCCCATACTATATGAACTCCTTTTTGCTGCATGCGCGTCACCTCCACGAACTTTACGTGCTCCGCTGTGGTTCCTTCCCATGTGTGATTGTATCACACATGGGAAGGAACCACAGCGGAGCACGTAAAGTTTGCACAAGAAGGGAAGGTCCCGGCAGTTGACGGGGCACCAATCTGGTACGATGTAAGTGATTGACGAGTCATTATCAGAAGACTATATGGACTGCCACCCGCGTGAATGTGGTAAGGACGTAACAACTCCCACACACTTATGGTATGATAACCGTGATGTAGACTCTCCCGAAAGCAAGACACATGAATTACCCGTGAATCGGACTGAGTATGTACCGTCTAGCGTTTTTTTTTTCTGAGGATTAGCGGTGTGTCGATGTTTCCTTGAGATGTTGTCATAGAATGAAAAAAGCTGGGATACTGCACTGCACATTTCAAATCACAGTTTGCGCACATTAGCACCACCTCGTTTTGAATTGCAGGCATTTGTACGCAACAAGGTTAGTGGTCATAACCAGTAATCATAGCTATCCATTTCCTCACTAGGTGGGATCCATGATGGTCATAATTGAATCTGTATACCATTTCCAACGTGGGAAAGAGATTCCCTTCATGTTTTCCCCTTGATTTTTGCCTTTCGATGTGGGCGAGATGAGAATGTGGAGATTTATTCACAGCCAATTTCACGATCGCACCTCATGCAAGCTCGCTCAACAGATCAATTAATTATCACAACAACATACATATATGAAACGATCATCCACTATTCGTACATCTGAAGAAAATTAGCGTTTAAACAGAAAGTGATAGTCAATTAACAAACAATCACGTTATTAGTGCCTAGTACTGCGCTACTTTAACCCCGTCTGTTTGCGGTTGCTTCGGAAGAATTGCTACAGTATGCCGTCCCTTAGCTGTCAACTTTCCGTCGGATCTCCGCCGAAATTCGGCCTCTGTGAATGCCACGTTTCGACCAAGCTTGAGCACATAGGCTGTGATCTCGATAACATCACCGAGTTTGACAGGTAAGAAATAACTGCAATTAAAGACCATCAGTGGTTGAGTCAAGCGGTGATGAGCATTTATTCTACTTATTATTGGATAGGGATCTCACAAACACATATAGAATTTTGGCGCTGGTATAGTTGGGAGGAATCGTTAGGCCGGTGTCAGACCGCGAATCGAGCGATTCGCTACTAGCGACTCGCTGGCGTCCGCGGTCCCATTGCGCTACCAGCGAATCGCTAGTGACGAGTCGCTCAATTCGCGAAGTCTGAAACCGGCATGCGGGTTGAGCCTACGAAGAGGGGAGAAAATTGGAGAAAATGGTAATCGCTCTACATCTGGAGCCTTCTTCCCTACCCTCTTCTCTAATGTCTAAGGCTTATATAGGACCATTTCTCCTACCCAAGGAAGAAAAGAGTTTTGATAAATGGCCTTCCCTTCCTGTTCAATTAAATTTGCTGACAGATTGACTTTCGGATAGCGTAAGTTATAGGGTCGACCACATAATACGGATTCGAAATATATGTATTCCAAGGAAAGCCCAAAATTGGTCTGGTACTGCTGACTTATTTCTTGTTTTCATAACTCAGTTTTGCAAGTAGATCATCCAGACGCAGTCACATCAAAAATGATCACCTCGAACGGCGAGCACAATTATAAAGTAGGGGTCGAGTCGAACGTTTGGAAGGGCTTTAGACAACCACCCACATTCTGTCTGGTACGTAACCACACAAGAACACCACTGCGCTACCATTGGTTTTAAATGCCGGTCAAATATGAACATGTTACTCGTTACTTACCACCTCAGACGGGTTCCACGGAAATATGTTAAAAAAAATAAAATTTAAAAAAATAAAATTAAAAAAAGAATAAATTTAAAATTGAAAACAAAAAGGAAGCTTACTGGAAACTGAGTTGGAGATGGTCATAGATGAGAAAGAAAAAACCGAAGCGATGGCTCAGAACCCGAAAAATTGGGCCCCATTCTTTGCCCATTAATCTCCGCATTGGTGTGAATTCTGGACGGCTCGAGGCTCAAACGGCGATAGGGAGGGGAGGGGGGCGCACCGCGCGCCAACACGCAGCCGGGAAGGAAGTGATAGATCGCCGGGCATATATTCTTCGATGAGAATTCCGCGTCGTTCCGCACTCTTAAGGAGGTCCACCTGGGTCTCCACTAAGCAACTTCCATTTCTTCACCTCGGTCCTTATCGGGAAGTACTCTTGAGGAATTCCCTCTCATCTGCTCCAGTGCTCCCTAGATAAGGTGTCCCTTTCAAAAAAGGCTGGATCCGCTGCAACTTCACATTGAGCAGTAGCTCCTACAAGATTTTGTTCATGGATAAAGGCAAGGCACGAAAATGGATCATGCCCAGCTGGAGATGTATTCTCTTACAAGTTGTGCTGTTCACCAGTAATGAACAATTTCGCTAGCAGGAACTTTTACACAAGTCAATCATTGCCTTTATTGCGTGTAGTTGTTGCATGTTCCTGCATAAGGAACCAGAATTTATTTTCTAAGAAGAACTTGAGCGTATTATTGCTGTTATAGCGTTTGCCTTATTGCCTTTTGAAAGTCTTCATCATAAAATTCCCAGTTCGACATCATGAGAAAAGCTGCGATGAAAACCTGAGGTTTATAAGCAGTCAATCCGCAGGGTTTGCTTTCGTCAGTGGAGGAGCCACAGTGAGCCAGAAACAAATACGTAACTAGAATAGAGCGATAAGAAGAGCACGAAAAAGGAGGATAGTAGAATCGAAAAAATAAACAGGATGAGATGTAAGGATTCACTGAGGTGAAAAGATGAACGAAGGAGGAGGAAGTCCGGGGAAAGAGTTATAAACAGCGATAAACGACATCTGGGGAGAATGTTCCTAAGAAAAAGGAAGACGGAAGAAAAAAAAACAAAGTATTCGACAGTGAATATTTCGTTTTAGGATGCGCCACACATCCAACTCAATTCGGAAGCTGAGTGAAGCTCGAACGTGATTTGGTCCACACAATAACTTGCGAGCTAGCAGATGAAGAAATCGATGCTCATTCTGGTATAATAATCCGACCCAATGGATGGAAGGCCCACATGACCCGAGCGGAGATTTATTCGAGTCTACTTCTTGAACCGAGCCTGTGGTAGGACACCATTTTTCGCTATCCTATCTCCGCCCAAAAGAATAAAATGTTACTAAGTGGATCATCCAATGGTCATAGACCAGCAGGGGCACCCAAAATTACTTCGCGTTAGAGGCGCAGATTTCCGATGAAAAGGTGGTAGCTCATTGGAAATAAAGGTAGAGGTGGTCAGTGGAGCAGGGATGAAGAAGAAACCATTGAAACGGCCCGAAACCCGAGAAATGGGACCCCTTCCTTGCCCGTTGATTTGCGCATTGATGCGACTCTCATCGCTGTGCCCTCTTCAACACTACGCTCTCTCTGCTATCTAATCACTCGCCACGTATAGACCTGCGGCGAGTGATTAGATAGTCGGTGGGCGTTCCCGCCAACGCGCCAAAGAAGCCATGCTAGATCGCCGAGGTCAAATCTTTCGATGCCAATTTAGAAGTTCGGTTCGCGTACGCCCACCCGCCCCAGTACAACACGCCGTTCGACACGAGGAAGAACAAATCGCAAATATCCATCGAGCTCTCAGGCCCACCTCCCTCTGCACACTGGCAAGCTCCCCAAGTTCACTAACACGGCTCTTAAAACGCCCGACTTGAAACAAACCGTTGTTACGCTCCCACACCCGAATAACCCCGCTCAATCCAAATAAAAGCCTCGCTAGCCCCAAGTGGCCTCCACAAAACATCGTATATAAAGATGTAAAATTAAAAAGTCAACAGATGATCATCGAATGACGAGTCCTTCAAAAAAGATTTACTTAAACGCAGCATATAAAACGTCGCGAGAACACTATCCTCATCTGTACCCTCATTCGTAAGACAGCCGTATCTATAACCACCGCTTGGCCTTCTTTGCTCCACCTCCATCAGACGACCATATAGCCACAATCATGCGAAGGCCTATCCTTAGACAGGCAGACTTGAGGGTATCTCAATTACTACCATCCGTCCCCTAAGTCATCCTGCGTCAGAAGGAAGCCTCGTAAAAACCTCACTTCAGCCACCGCGCTTGTAGTTACCTGCCGAACATTTCAGCCCCCCGAGCGCCACGCAGTGAGCAGCTTATTACTATGAAATTGAACAAATAGTCAAAATTATTATACACGGTTTCTCAACTGATTATCTCTAAGTCTCATATCTTAGAGCCTACGCACACTATTGAGATTATTGCTCAAGAGAAGCATCTTCTTCTCCAATCAAATCACAATACCGGCCGAATCATCCAGACGGGAAGACCATCCAAAAGCAACATTAAATCAATGTGCCGAGAGAACAATACATCGACGACAGCATCGAGGTTTACACCCTGTCCGGAGCGCTTAATTTTTATCTCCTTGCTCTCTATTTCTCTTCATAAGAAAAAGTGAGACCGTCATACGTCAAAAATCTAGACCAGATTCATCTTCTATCAAAAGTTTTCGCTAAGCATCTCACCTGACCCAGTACTGCCTGTCCAAGTTGCCACTGGGCCCACACACATTAAACTACACCTACGGGGTGAAGAGGATTTCGGCAACTATAAATAGACCGAGATACAGGGCGTCGATAAGTGCGAGCCTCGTATCTGCCTGTATCCACATCCCATAACGGGCGGCGACGTTCCAAGCACTCGATTACACCAAACTGAAAAAGTATCTACGCTCATCCGATAAATCCCAGAAGATTCGCCTCTTTCTACTGGCAGCTCAAGAACTGCTAAATAACGTTCAAACTACCTTGAGTACGCGTTGACACGCCCCGACCTGTGCGATCCCGCTGCGCACTTCGGCTATTGGTCTTTTCCGGTTTTTGCATCTCTTCTCAACTTAAATTCCTACGTTGACGGATTTGTCCCCGAGTCTTGACACTTTTGGCATAAGTAGCTTGTTCCCTATCAATTAAGCGACTATCATTTTCCAGTCGATAGCGACGAGAGGACTCCTGCCGAGAGCTGACTACATCTATCTGAGATACCGGATCAGCATTCAACCAATCCACTCCCCCGGCTTCTCTCTGCAACAAGTTACATGAATACTTTCTCAGCCGAGTACCTCACAAACTTATGACGGTTAAAAAGAGCCCACATCGTAATTACCTACTGACGCGCTAAGACTGCCAGTTCGTACTTCTGTGAATACATCAAGTGATCCCCCATCTCACAATATGCAGACAACTCTTCCAGAACCCTTTTAATTTCTTGGCCCCATTGCCAGATTAAATCGTCTGAGTCAACATAGGCCCAAGTCATGAAGCGCGCCCGGGGTAACCTATCTCTGCCCACACTGATGCCCGTGCTTACACACAGTTCTCGTGATGAGGAGCTCCTTGAAAAGATACAGAAGATCACTCCTAGAAATACGGCCTGAATATCTCTCAGTCCACGTATGACGCTTATGTTGGCATGAAGATATAATACCACTACAATCAACTTACATTAAAGCGAGAGAGAACCTTATCTCTTACTACGATCCACGTAACGACAAGATTCGTATATGGACGGAATACCATAAATTGTTACTCGGACATACGTCTGCGCGCCTGCTTATCGATATCGATCCTTATGTGTCCTCCACCCGACACAATCATGATTTTCGCTCCACGCTGGTCCTAATCGCGTCACCGATCTCTCCCCCGCCCGGCCCAACTACGCGATCTCCCTACCCCCCCTCTCTGACATCCGAGATCTCCTCATACACGCACGCTTGACCCTTGTCCGCACCCTCGAGCGTCCGCCGTGCCCACCACATACCCCGGTTTAACCCACCCCCACTCATCCGACCTTGCGTTATATGGAAATCACTCCTTGAACTTGAACTCGTTTACCTGACTGCAAATTCGATAGTAACCAGCCAGTAGTCTTATGAGCCTTCACAAGAGGGCCACACCCATACCAGGGTTTGCCCCGTTTTTCCTGTCCTAGCAAGTACGACTATAAACTCGTGATGGCGTTTGCCCCTTTCACAATTCCTGGAGACCTACCCGAGGGGTCTTACTTCAAAAATTTTCCTTCAAAAATTATATATTCAAATACATGATCACTTAAGTGAGAAGGAATTTGGATTAATAACTCTCTACATATGGTAAGCTATCTCCGGCGATCCATCCACGTTGAAGCCCTTGTCTTCCCTACTCACTGCTTTTCAAAATCACGGAATATTACCTTGGCGTTGATATGTTCTGGTCCGACGGTCATTTCGCAAACTATTTTTTCCTTTGAAGCATACAGTGGTTTAACCTGAAATGAGTGTCATCGAATGGGCAGTCAGATGTCGACGCAACGGGAGCCATCACTTTATAAACATCAATTCCTGCTATAAGTCGCTTAATCCAAAGGGTGCCTGTTATTCGTTTAGTGATGTTTAGATACCGAGCTCGCGTTGCCAATGTTTCTGAGAAGCTGAGTTATGGCCAAAACTTTCGCTCAAGACAGGAATCGAACCCGCATCCCTACCATTCTGGGCGCTCTGCTGACAAAGTATGCTTATCCTTTGATAAACTATCAAAGCATAGAAGTGTGGCGATGGCTGCCTATATTCAACGTAGCGTCAATTCAAAGTTGAAAGTCGCGCTTCTTTTCCCGTCGCTAACTTTCTTTACTGACCATAAATTAGTACCAATAGAATATAAAGTACACCATAGTTTCAAAGAGTGACCCGTAGGTTGCTGCAACATGCTCAAACACCGCTAATTACATCCTGATAGGGCTTCCTCAATATTTGTGGAGGGTGGGGGGCAGATGCAATGAGCGCTCTCCCAAAGTGGTCATTCTTACTGACATAGCTTTTGTACGAAGATAATATGGGGATCGCAAAGAGACCGCGTCTCCACACTTGGTTTCCGCATTGAATTGGTAACGCAATTCAATGCCGAAATCAAGGGTGGAGACGCAGTCGCAAGAAACAGTCTCGGAACGAGGAACATTGCAAAGACCCTAGTAGTGGTAGAGTGAAGCACTACTCGGGAAAGTTATGCACATTTTTGTAGACTACCCGAAACAAACGCCTCCCTAGACCTCGAAAAAAATGACAGGCTGATTCGATCACAACCTCAACTGTACCCCTTACGCTTCGGACAACATTTGGAGCATTTTCGGAGGACTTGTAAGTTTTTTGAAAATGCTGTTTTTCGCGATATTAGGCAGATGTTATACTTTGCAACCTCAGCTCGATCTGTGTGGCGACACTTGCGATTACAGCAATTCTCGGTGCTCACTTTCATCGAGGAGCAGTTTCAGTGTTCGGTACTCATGATGAGCCTGTGTCACTGATGAGCCAGTTGATGTTCGTGGTCTCGAAAAAAAATCTATGATTGCAGACTTCTTCGATAGGTTGTACGCTAACTAGCTCGTTGCGGTTACTCACTGGCTTTTAGCAGACATTATAGCACACTGAGAACCACTGGGATCACTGATGAACCACGGGTATCGCGATGGCAGCCATGTTTGACATCTGCATTACAGATATGCTATAAACGTACCTGAGCTCCAGTGCGATTGAAATCGGTCAGAGAAGAAAGGCTAGCGAACTCTTCTCTCAAGTCATCCATCAGAGTGCCGTTAGCATTGTGTACATCCTTCTCCTGGCATTTAACTTCGAAGTGTCCCGTAGCTTTCGAGGCACTGCTTTGGGCTATGTCTTCGACTTCGACGACCATATCTAAATCGAACACCGGACTAGATGGAAAGCGCAGCAATTCTTCCAATTAAGAACAGTGACAAACACAAGGGCGGAACACGAGGAATAAAAACATGATCGACAACAGTTCATTCAGTAGCATGACAAAAACGCGAACACCTCGTAATGCCCCACAGCTGTAAGTTGACCTGGGAAAACACTGGATAAATCAGGGCAGTCGGGGCCTACCTGAAAAACAGCACAAGGAGAACAAGTACTTGCTGACGTCATAGATGCAAAGGACAGAAAACCTTCAGAATTAGTAACACTAAGGAAAACAGGAGAAAGTAGGCTGCTTTGGAGAGCACTGAGAAGTGGCTAAAGCATTAAAAAAAGGCTCATAGAAATGGCGTGCGGAACCCAGGAGCGGACTTAATCATCACTTCTTCAGGCGCACGTAACCACTCTAACCATATCAGTCCCCATATTTTGCTCTTCTTCATTTCGATCATGTGCACGTATGGAGCCGTTTCTGCTCTCCACCATCAGGTTCCAAGAGAAAGGCTACGACTTTCTCTTGGAACCTGATGGTGGAGAGGGAGACGCACGTTCCACCTTTCCGTCTACCTCCCTTGCACTTCCCCACTCCTAGAGTTCCACTAGAAATGACGGGACCTACTGCTATTCAGGGATCAGGAGACAACTTCACCAATTCAAAATGCAATTCGTTAAGGTGCTATATGTTAGCGAAGAAGTAAAAATAATGATGCAATAGACAAAACACTACATAAACGAATAAGAACTTGGAAAAATCGAAGACATTTTGCGATTGCATAGTTTCCGTGAGCGCTAGCCATGTATACCCACAGTAAAAACTTTTTCCCTCACCCGCCCGCTACTCTTGAATACAACTTGACCCTACATTAACATTTATTCGGAAAGCAGGCGAGCAGACCCAAAAGAACATTAGGCAGAAGAGTAAGAAAGTTCTCCTCAAGAGCTAGGTGAGACCGGTTGCTTTGTCTGGACTCTCCTTTATATCCGGAAAAGGCATGTACTCCCGCTGTGAAAGAAACGCAACTTCTTATAATTTTGCCAAAACAAAGTCTCAGTGTTCGATGAAAATTCAGATAAGACAGGTGGAAGGCGAAGAAAAATGGACACTGTGCCATTCCGGACACGGTGAGCTAGCGTCGAAGAGTTCTCAATAGGAAGGGTCGCGTTGTATGGAACTGAACTCAAAAAAAGGGAGCAGAGACCAGTAGGTAGTCGAAAAGGACTTTTTGGGAGAATTTATAAA